ACTTTGGCGAATTTCAGACACCTCCCGGCTCAAATCTCGAAGCGGGATTCATCCGTTATCCAGTGACGTCAGAAATTTCAGGCCCGAAAAGAACAGCAACGTCGGATCAGCATTCAGCAACCTTCATTCTCATCCGAGTCAACATCATTGTCATCATCCACGTCATGCTAGTCAACAGCCATGTCACCATGTTTTCATCCACTAAGCCCCCTGTACTCTCCTAGTCATCATCCACGTCACCCATTGGACCTTTTTAGGTCACGTCATGGGTTTTTGGGCTTTGCAATATTTTACCCGGCCCAATCTCCCAACAAACTGGGACTTCTTTTGCCGGGGAAAAAAAACATGAAGTATAAAGGGACCACTATCGAGAATGACATACTTACCCTTGTTGGAAAAAAAAAAAAAAAATAAAAATCCAAGATCAATGTTAGTTTAAACTTTAAACCATTTGCTTGTTGTGGTTTTGAGAATAATAATCTATAATAATGAACCGAGCACATGGATGCATCTAGATTTACTTCTTTTTTTGGGGGGGGGGGTTTTTTTAATTTTTTTCCCCCTCTTTACTAGGTAAGGGGAAATCTTAAAAGAAGGAAAAAATTTATTTCCCGAATAAGTATACTAATTTGAATAAAATTTTTGTGAGAGATTCAAAATGTAGGTTCTAGTAGTAAAAAATATATAGATTATTTGAAAAGTTAAAACAACGATGATAAAATAAAGAAATATGCAAAACCCAATGCAAGTGGCATTATCATATAACTTAGGAATGTATAAAGAAATTATATTGTTTATAAATTATTAATAGAATGGCCTGTATCAATTTTCATATTGTATTTACTTGCTCGTGTGTCTATATATCAATAGATAATGCCAAGAGTAAAAAAATTATTATATGTAAGATATTAGTGAAAATTAATACTACCTTCAGCCTTTAATATAAAATATAATTTATAGTTTAAGTTGAATTAAAAATAAATCTTATATTAAGCATGTAGTAATATATAATAGCCAAACATTATAATATGGAGAAATGGCGGAGACATGAGAAGCGGGAGCTACGCCCCCAACTTTTGAAATTTTTTTAGTAATATGCGGGGTTATATATTTTCGTCCCCAGAACAGAGCATTTTGTATATTTCATACTCCTTTTCGATCTTTAATATAAGACCTATTTAACTAATTTGATTAGATTAAGAAAGTTAGGTAAATTAGTTAATTATAAGAAAAGTGACACATTTTTCCTAAAACACTATAATCATCTTTCTCAATACCCATCTTCCTTTTCTACTTGATTATGGTTGGGGGAGTATCCATAAGGGTAATTTAGAAAAAATTAAAAAATATGATAAATGGGTCTTATATTTAGGACTAAAACCAATTCAAGAATTGGATCCTATATTAAAGATCGGAGGAGTACTGACATGCTTTACTCAATTACTAAGCATGCATACAATGATATTTAAAAAAAAAAATTCCTCTCTTCTATAAGAAGTGTTTATTTAATTTGAATATATTAAAAAAATTAAATAAATTACTTAAGCATAATATTTGTAAACCTAATTTCTTTAAAATAATCACGTATAATATTAGATTATATAACAATTTATGAGTTAGGTAAATTAATTAAAAAAATATAAATATAAGAAATAAAATGAATTAAGATATTACATTTAATACCAAAATCTAATTAGAAGTAATTTTTTTACTCTAAGAAAATAAATGCTAAACATAAAATATAACTTGCTTTTCATAAATATAAACAAATATCCAAAGTGTTTTAAAAAGCTCTACTATATAAAAAAAAAAAAAAAAGTTTCCTCGCTGTAACTGTGAGAATTAGTTTGCATGCCATGGAGTGGCTTTATTTTCTCTATTGATTACCATCTCCGAAGTCCTAGAGCGTCAAGGGTTAATTTTTCTGGTATTACATTAATATCTATGTGCGTGTTAATTAAAAGAGTTATATGCCTGTACGTTCTTGCATTTTGCCTCGTCCACAGTCTCAATACAGTTTGGGAGAAGATCAGCTAATTACTAGTTGTTAATCATTGACTTTTAAGCTACTTTTCTTAACTAAGCTGCTCGTAATTCAAAAATGCTTATCTAATAAGTAATTACTATTTCTGATCCTTTTAAAAACTAGTTTGATATTTAATCTGATTATAAATATAAAACTATAATTTACTTTATTTATTTTATTTATTTATTTTTTTCAAAGTACTTCTTGTAGTTGCATATTTTAAAAGGTTCATCAAATGGTAGATCTAGCTTATATATAAAATTAATAAGGGTAGTTTAGTGAACACAACATGTACTTATTACAAATAATTAACTTAACTAATTTTTTAATCTACTCAAATTAGTTAATTAACTCTTATATTAAACACTAGATGTAGTATTAGCTTTTTATTTTGCAGCAATGCGAATGCTAGGGATCTCAAGGCACCATATCTCCTCTCTCTCTCTCTCTCTCCCTCTTCAAAAAAACACTCCTAACTACCATATAAGCGCGGAAAAAAAGTGCTGAAAAGTAATTTATATTATTAAAATGTTAAACTTTATTTAATTGAATTTATCCTCCAATTAAGATCAATGTATCTTAATTACTTTAATTTGTCATAATACAATTAATAAGGGTATTTGTGACCAAAAGGAATTTAATACTAGTTACTTTTAGCAAAATGACTTATGTTGGGAACTATAAAAACCTTCTAGAAGATACTGCTTTGGTGCTATTTATATGTTGCCTCCGACATGTTTTATCAAAATAAAAAAAATAAAATGTCATAACTTCTATTTTAAAATTAAATAATTTTTTAACTCTAACCCCATTTAATGTATACTTTTTTGAAAAACAATATTAGTGATCTACATACTACTCCTCCGGTCATTCAATAAATAAGGAATAAAGTAATATATTTATGTTAAAAATTTAATACTCCTCCGGTCTTTAATATATGACCTAATTGTTAAGTTGGTTTTGGTCCTAAATATAAGATCCATTTCTCATATTTATCAATTTTCTCTAAACTACCCTTATAAATACTTACTCAATCATAATCAAGTAAAAGAGGAAGAGGGAGTATTAAGAAAAATGATTATGGTATTTTAGAAAAAAAAAAGTATCACATTTCTTATAATTAACTAACTTACCTAATTTTCTTAATCTAATCAAATTAGTTAAATGAGTCTTATATTAAGAACCGGAGGAGTATTTCTTACGGGGAGTATATTATTTATGATATGTGATTAGTGGGTATTCTTTATATTTTGTATTTAGGTCAATACAATCTTTGATCCCTCAAATTTATTTTTGTTTGATTTTTAGTTTCTTAAATTTCAGATAATAGGTTTTAGTCCCTTTAAAAATAAAATGGTTCAAGTCTTTATTGAATTATAGGAATCAACACTTTAAATGAAAAAAAATTGAGATACCAAAATTTATGGTTTGAAATTTGAGAGACCAAAACCTATAGTTTGAAATTTAAAAGACCAAAATCAAAATGAGAACAAATTTGAAAGACCCAAAATTATATTAATATTTTATATTTGATATAAATATATTAATTGATTTGAAGAAAAAAAATTTGCGTGAAAATAAGGCAGAGGGATCTTCTTGCAATTACTACTTTTGGGCACTAACGTTTTAAATTTAATAGAAACTTAAGTGTTTCTAGGATTATTTAATTTAACCTGTATTTCGATTTACGCAACTGTTCCAATAATTTGATTTTAAAAGGAAAGAATTTTTATTTAGGAAAAAATATATTAAGATCCCACTCAAGAAAAATAAATATAAAAAAATTTGTTAAAATTTAGTATTTAGACAAGTGAAATTTCTTATAAAATCTTTTACAATGAGACTCTTTAGACTTTATCTTAATATGATGATTTTAAGAAAACTTTTTATATTTGTTTATTTTGAATGCAATCTTAATGCAAATTTATGAAAAGGTTCAGGCTCCACTGAATTGCAATTATGGTGGCTTCCAATTAAAATAAAACAGACTTATGTAGAATTTATACCGAAAGCTTTTATGCGTACAAAATCTTGGTTTGATTTATGATTGGGACTTTTAGAAGAAAGAAGTTAATGTACCCAAAAAAAAAAAGAAGAAGAAGAAGAAGAAAGAAGTTAATATTTTTACCTCCGGTCCTAAATCCTAATTATAAGAACTAATTGACTAATTCTAGGAGATTAAGAAAAGAAGTTAAATTAGTTATTTGTCATAAATAAGTGTTATCTTTCTTAAAATATCCTTGCTAATCAAGTATGTTGGCTATAACTACTATTGTTAGAAAGACTATCTTGAAAAAAATGCATAAATATTAGAGATAAAGTGGATTGGGATCTTATATTTAGAACCAAAATAAAAGTCAAACGAGGTATTGTATTAAGGATCAGAAAAATTTAAAAAATCTTATGAAGTCCTTAAGAAATAAATTTGATTATTTATATATTTATTCAAAATTAAATTAAAATCACTTCTAAATTTTGTTCTCGTTTAAAGTATACTACCTCCGCTACTAATTATAAGATCTCGTTTATATCTAATTCTAATTTACTACTAAAAATTTAAAAAATCTTATTGAAGTCCTTAAGAAATAAATTTGATTATTTATATATTTATTCAAAATTAAAATCACTTCTAAATTTGGATCTCGTTTAAAGTATATTATTTTCTGTTCTAATTATAAGAACCCATAATTAGTACTAGAGATAGTATATCGGATAGATTTGCCCAAAAGAGGAACAAGTATACATATGCACTGAACTGGATCAATTAACTTAATAAGGAATAAAAAACTATAAAAGGCATACCTAAAATAGAATCAAGAGGGGAAGGGACTAGGGAGAGGTAACGTTATCTCCACATGTCACACCTTGATTGGCTGGTGGGATATTCCCACATGAAGATTAATCCATATGAAATATCAGAAGTTCAGCGGAATTAGGATGGCTGTTTCACCATCACACGAGCCTCTTTCAAGTTCCAAACGTGAAAATAACAACTCAAGCGATCAATATTGTTCCAGACTTCTAACACTAGGGCCATTCGTTCATATATGATATACATCACAGCCAGTCGATGAAGGGCAATAAACACAAGCCTCTGCTTTATCAGTTTCAGCTTTGGTTCTGAGTTTTGACCATCTCTCTCTACTTTGAATCCTCCTGCTCTGTAATGGAGCTCCCTCTCACACTCACTCCAAACCATTCGGCAACGACATCGTTTTCTGCAGCTCTCGCCCATTGCTCATCCAAGCTCTGGGATTACCAACCCAGGAAGAAGAGGATGTCCTTTGACGCGGCTAAGATTTCTGTACGCTGTGTTAAGGCTTCTGCGGAGCAAAGTGGCGAGAGAATCGAGGAGGGGGAGAACCGGGTCAGGTTTACAAACCCGGCTATGGAGGTCACCACATTGAATCGAACGTTCAACGACGCAGATTTCCCTGTTTGGGAAAAGATTGGTGCTGTCGTCAGGCTCAGCTATGGCATCGGTAAGCTTCTCAGTCAAACTTAAAAGTATCCATTAAAAGTTGTTTGCTTTAGAAATGAATAAACGAAAGGCTCCTTTTTGTCTGGCTCTAATAGTTAGTATTTGAGTTGGTTGAGTTGATTTTTATGTGTGATGTTTGGTTTCAGGGATATATGGGGCCATGGCTGTTGCGGGGAGTTTTATATGTTCGATCACCGGAATCGATTCCATGGGGGGTTTCCAGCTATCAATAGATGCCATTTTGGAAGGACTCGGATACGCAGCCCCTCCAATTATGGCCCTTTTATTTATTCTTGATGTAAGTTCGTTTCAATTATGGTATAAAGGTCTCCCTGTTTTATTAGTAATTGTATTTCCATGTATTTGTGCGTACCATGGGGTATGCTGAGGACATTTGTAGGGGGAAAAAAAGAACCATTGGTTTTCTTAGCTCATTCACATGCTTAATTATAGGATGAAATCGTGAAGCTATCACCTCATGCTCGTGCTATTAGAGACGTGGAAGATGAGGAACTATGGAGCTTTTTTTATGGGATGTCCCCTTGGCAGGTACTTATTTATTTATTTATTTATTCTTTGGACTCACTGAGTGAACTTTATTCTGGTGCAATGATTAAGAATGAATGATTGATTTGATTTTACTCTGCAGTTTATACTGATGGTTGCTGCAAGTTCTGTGGGAGAGGAGCTCTTTTACCGGGCCGCTGTTCAGGTTTGTTCAGATGCTTCTCTAATTGGTTTCATCATATCTTCCTGGACATGTCCCTGAAATATCTTGAGATGAGCTTTGGTTTTGATGGGTACCTAAGTGGGATCTGAAAGCTACCTGCAGTGGTGGGAGAACTAACCTACTTAGGTATTCCATTGAGCATCTTATACTACGTATTGTGGAATTTAGTATCTCATACTACCAAGTTGGCTATTTATGATCCTGAATATAGTTGGCTGATGCTGGTAATTTGGTAGTGCTAAAAATTAGATATATGAACTATTTGGATTACGATGTCAGCTGAATGGTGTATTAATAATGCAACTCTACAGGGGGCATTGGCTGATATATTTCTACGGGGCAGTGATCTGATAGCTGATGCCAGAGGAATGGCATCATTGGTAAATGTCCCATTCTTTATTTTTGTTTGGGCTTTTGCCAAAACAAATTGTCTCTCATTGATCGGTTCAGTGACAGTTTGATTTATTTGCGAATTGCAGACAGGTGTGTTGCCACCTTTTGTTCCATTTGCTCAGGCATTTGCTGCTGTGCTTACTGCTGTCCTTACTGGTTCTCTTTATTATGTGGCTGCCTCTCCTAAAGGTTATCTTTTGTTGTTGTTATTCTCAGATTTTCCCAATCTTCTGTGTTACTTTTGTTCAAACTGGATTATTTATTGCCTCTGACAAGTTTTCTTCCTTAATCTTTCTTTCAGATCCCACTTACGTCGTGGCACCAGTATTACAATCTCGCTCGGGTCGTCAAGATTTGAAAAAATTGTTTGAAGGTTCTATCCTTTTTCTCCTATTAGCTAAACGTGCAAGCTGACTTAATTGCGTTTGGATATTATTGCTTTGTTAAAATTCGAGAGAAGTGAAGCTACTTAGTTTTCATTGGAAGTAGGGTTGTCATGTACCTCACAGACCATTCACCTGATTTATGAATATTGGAATCCCTTTTTGGCAGTGAGTAACAAATCTCTATGGATAAATTTTTGGTCTCTCAAGTTTTAAATTATAGATTTTGGTCCCTCAAGTTTCTTTTCATTTAAAATATTGATCTTTATAATTCAATAAAAACCTGGACCATTTGGCCCCTTGAGGGACCAAGACCTATGGTTTGAAGCTTGAGGGACCAAATCTCTATAGATAAATTTTTATAAGCAGTTATTAGTTCCCTGGAGATGAAATTACCTGTAGTTATCTTCAATGGAGATGAAGATTAAACTGTTTCTCAGTCGTTAGTTGTCAATTAGGAAGGTTCCGTTTGGTTGAGAAAATGAAACGAAAGTCTAATGGGATCTTCTCAATATGGTTTTCTTGTACATTTTCAAGCTCCATTAATGTCTGTTTCTGGTGTTGCAGCATGGTATGAGAAAAGGCAAATGAAGAAAATCTATTCCCCACTTCTGGAAGGATTGCTGGCTCTCTACCTAGGTTTCGAATGGATTCAGGTATCCTGAATTTGCTTATTCTCTATAATTAACAGTACAAACACGCTCCTTAACAGTTACACTTCAAAAATCTGAAATTGACGCCCTTTAAACTTCCACGCTTCAGCTTTTAAAACCTTGTATCAGTTTCCCGTTAATGGAGATACTACTTGTCCCTTTCTCCTGTCACTTGGCTTGTTTCCATTATTAAGTGAAACAATGGAGACATGCCACGTGATATATAGAATGTGAAAGTTTCAGAGGCTAATGTTCCTGGTTTCAAAGTCAAAGGATGTTTTTAAATGCAGAGAACGGAACTAATTGTGTCTTTACTTTAATGAACATGTGACAGACAAATAATATTCTGGCTCCCATAATCACGCACGGCATATACTCTGCTGTTATACTGGGGCATGGCCTTTGGAAGATACATTATCACCGGCGGAGGCTGCGGCAAAGGATCCAACAGCTCAAATTAGAAGAAGAACAAAATTCCAACTAAATTTTGAAATGCTCTGTGTTTGTCGTATAACTGTAGAGTTGGGCTAAGAAATGTATAGTTTGTGTGAGAGTTGTAATCATGTATATATAGGAATGTAAGTGTACCATGAATAATAGCCCAAGTCTTCATACATACTTTCTTCAGCACAATTTTGTTTGTCTCTAACACATTGTTGGCTAAAATGATTCTTTCTTTTTAAAATTAGAGGGGTAGACATTACGATTTGCATTGGGTACTCATCAGATCTAGACGTTCTAGATTTAATTTAATTTTAATTTTTTTAAATAATTATTTTAATAAGTATAGGATAAAAAATAAAAATATCTCTTAACTATCATTCTTTAAAAATATAATTTTTTTTATTTTAAAATAATTATTTAAAAATATTAAATTTGAACTAATCTAGACGGCTCAGATTGCTTATCAGGTGATGAGCACCAAATGCAGAACTCAGACATTAACAGTTAAAGGATGCGAGTGGGATTGATCTGTGGTTTTATCTTATTAAGAAGTTTTTCGCGTCACTAAATTGCAAGGTGATGACTGTTAGCTAAAATGATAGAAAAGGAAAACACGCTATTCCTTTTTGGTTTTTTAAGGCAGGTCATATCAGAACCAAAAGTTTGACTCGAACGAAATTTTGGAGCGGCACGTAAACGAAGCGGATTGCCCTGTTACTTGTCCACAGTTCATTAGGAGGACAAATGCAAAAAGTTGATTTTTTTTTTTTTTACTGTTTCCTTCAAGATTGGAAGTTGTCCTTTGTTTAACTACCCATCAATATCGCAGTTAAATAAAAACAATTAGATTTAAAATATTAACTCCCACGGTCTAGAACATCCCATTAAAGTAAATTGAAATTTTCAATTAAATAGAATCAATTCATTAACTCATTAATTGGATAATCATAAGCTCAAGAGAATTAGTTCATAAAGAATGGACTCACTAAAAGTCCCCCATACATTGAACTTCACAAGCATGATCCACTATCATCACGATCATTGTCATGTGACTAGGTCTAGTGGAATAAATTAGTTCCTTCTGAATACTCATAGGGAGAAGTGCTCACTTTTAGTGTTTGATAATACCTTGCACATAATTATCTCAACAGGGTTATATACATATATACTTATCTAATTATAAATATAAAACCAAATTTGTAGTGTAAATTATATTATAAAATAAATCTTATATTTATAACTAACATTATAAAATAGGTTTTATATTTGGGATAGACAGAATATGTGGGTGTGCGCGCGCAAAGTTTTAGTTCAAGTACAACTTTGTGTTAGAACTAGGCCTTCTTTACCCAAAAGAAAAAGTGGGCCTTGGTTGGGTTTTGCGAGATTCAAAGTTGGGCCAAAAACCTCTTTAAACTAGAGGGCCAGACATTAATGGTTTGAGGATACAAGTTGGATTGATTTTGTGACTTTTATCTTATTGGAAAATTTTCATGTTACTAGATGACAAGAAAATGACTGTTAGCTAAAATAATAGAAAAGGAAAACACATTGCTGGCTCAAATGATTTTTCTTTTTTGGTTTTCTGAGGGAGGTCATATCAAAACCGGAAGTTCGACTTAAGAACGAAAGTTTGGAATCGTACGTAAATAAAGTAGAAAAGTTTTATCTCAACTTATACTACATTACTTTTTAAAAGTGATTATAGGCGAGATCATATGATAATATTAAGGGAACCAATATGTATATACTCCTCCGGTCCTTAATATAGGACCCAATTCTTGAGTTGATTTTAGTCCTAAATATAAGACCCATTTCTCATATTTATTAATTTTCTCTAAACTACCCCTATGGATACTCTCTCAATCATAATCAAGTAGAAGAGGGAGATAGGGTATTAAGAAAGATGATTATGGTGTTTTAGGAAAAATGTGTCACTTTTCTTATAATCAACTAACTTACCTAACTTCCTTAATTCATTCAAATTAATTAAATGGGTCTTATATTAAGGACCGGAGGAGTAATGTTTACCAACAGTGATTGAATATAATGAAATGAGTTAGTCTCCTACAACATAGCTAACCAATTTTTAAATACTTGCTAGGAGAGTTGCCTACTTTTGGTGTCCAATACTACCCTGAACAAAATTGTCTTCAATAGGATAGTATATGGGCTACACCCATGTGTGTAAGGTTTTAGGGGGTGTTTGGATGAAGCCAAACCATGGTTTGGAGAATAGCTTCTGGAGAATAGATTTTGGAGAGAATAGATTTTGGAAGAATAGATTGTCTGAAAAAGTGATTTTGATAAAGTGAGAGTGTTTGGATATTTATTGTCAGAAGTGCTTTTTTATATGTAGAAATTACTAAAAAGGACATAAGTTTAAATGATAATTACATATAAGATATATTTCATAATATATGCTTATTTGAAGTAATAAATTTGTTAATAATATATATTTTGGCAACATAATAAATAAGACATAAATAATATAAATAAAAAAAATTAAAACGTATATATATTAATAAAATAAGTAAATATGTTTTTTGTAAAATAATTTACTTTGCCAACAAAAAATATGATTAATTATTTCAGAAAATATGATTAACAAAACATATGTTTGTGGAAGTAGGATCCGCGAACACCAAGTAATATATTTTGCAAAGCACCACCAGTGAAAGCTGTAGCATGGAGCCTCGTAGAGCAAAAGAGGAAGGAAACAATTGATATTTGCGGGGCCCACCAGCAGTCAATAATCAGCCTAGAAGCAGCTCCTCCGTCCCTTCTTCGAAACCAAGGTTTTGGGGGGCCAAAACCATGGTTTCAAATTTTTGATGGGTGTTTGGCAAATTTTTCTCCAAACCATGGTTTGGAGAGAGAGCCAAACACCCCCTTAGTTTAAGTTCAACTTTGATCTGGAACTGGGCCTTCTTTGCCCAAAAGAAAAGGTGGGCCTTGATCGGGTTTTGCTGGATTCAAAGTTGGGCCAGTAGCCTCTTTAAGCAGTAGAGATGAAAAGAATAAAACGTGACCCAAAACCCAAAGCAGTGAAGGAAAGCTAGCAAGAAAGAGAAAAAGCCAAGAAAAAGGGCAAACACTGACAAAGCAAAATGATAAATTGGAGGACTTTGTTCCATGTATAGTACTCCAATTGTCGGAGCGTGAATGGACTCAAGTCTTGTATCGACATGATTGGTGATACCATTTTCACCTTTCTTATCATTACTCTCCCTCAACCCATAGATTCCAGCTTTCACACACACACTACTTGCAATTCTTTGCTTATTGGAATCCAACTAACCGGTTCATTGACAGGAAGATGAGAACAACATTGGGACGTAACCAAAACACAGCGAGCAAGCCTAAAACCTAAAACTGAAACATAGGTGGTGGTCGGGAATTGTCATTCTCATCAAAAGATACACAAGTGCATTAGAGTGAGAATATATATATAGTTAGTTTATATTATACATGTGTCTGTGTGTGTGAGGGAAGTGGCAGTGTCAGAACAGTCAATAGTTTAGAAGGAAGGGAAAATATAAAGGGGACAATGGGGAAGAGGTTCGTGGTCATGCAGAAACAGAAATGCATCAGATTGAAGATTAGAAGAGGCAATGATTACTGATTGGTAAACTGGGTATGCGAGCCCCATGCACTGACCATGACTAAACCTCAAAACCCACAATTCATCTCTCTCTCACCCCCACCTAGGCTTTTGCTTTTAACAATTCCACCAACCCCTCTTACTGATCTCTTAACTGTCCGAATCTTGGTCTACATTACTATTCAGCCCCTGACAGATCCATTAAAACCAACCTTTGAATCCAAAAGGGAAAAAAAAACATCAAAAGGCTCAAATGCATATATACATAGCTCTTTTCTAGGTTTTTTTCCTGCCTATTGAATGAATGTGTTTGCAGCTAGGGTTCTTGTATGTATGAATATGCAGACACACAGGAGGGGGGCGGGGAAGAGAGAGAGAGAGAGAGAGAGAGATGGAGAGCGTGTACACTGAATTCTTGGCTGTGAGATTTCTGGACATCGATATCAGTGACAGAAGAGAGAGAAGGGACGATAAAAGAGAGGGATATATTATGCGTATGGTAATATTAATATATATTAATAAAGTAATAAAGAAGTAATAAAAAGAGTTGATAGGTAGGGTAGGGGACCAAAGAAGCAGGGACAGAGAGGGAGAGAGGATGCTGCCAAATGAGCCTATATTAATTGATAGTTTTTGTGTTGCTCTTAGCTGTGGCTCTCTCCTGCCTACCTATGCTTCGTTTTCTCTTAAGGGGCTCTACCACCCTTACTTTTTCTTACCTTTTAGGGCTTCCTCTCTTCTACCTTTCTGCTTCATTCTAATTTCCACATCATGAATTCCACACTCATCAAAACACTATCTCCTGTACACATCATTGATGTTCTAATTGTAAAAATTCTTATAAATTTATGTACGTACTATAGCATATACCTATCTTTTGTTTGTTAATATATTACCTTTTGCATTCGTTTCAACTATTTATTGTTATGATTGAAAGGGATTCTTTTTGGTGAAAACGCAGTATCATATACTGTTGAAGTTTAAAAAAGGAAAAAAAAAAAAGTTATTTGTTTATCATAGTTTATAGACAGACATACGCATACTAAGATTGTGTGCTTCTGCTTCTTGAAAAAGTAGTCCATGATAAAAGGTCTTCTTCAGGCCCCCACCCCCCTACCATGGGAGGGAGGCCTCTTCTTGTTGTACTGGATTAATAGTTCAGAGTAGAGTTAGATTTCGAAGACCACCATGCCGATTCTTGTGCTTGCATTGACCAAAATGAAGCATGAAGCACGAAGCACATGTTTGATCGTACAGAAATCTCACAGCAGAAACTTGATGGTAACATATAGATGAACAAGCTCATATTCTATCGATGACACAGATGACAGATATGTATATATACGTAGCTAGCTGTGCCCACATATGTCTCAGATAGCCTATATGTATAGCATAGTATTCAAACTTTGTCTTTTTCATTCCTTTTTAGCTTCAAGGGAGAAGTAGAGCAATGCAAAGTCATTATCTGCGAACAGGGTGATCAGGAAGCTGGCGTGTAAAATGCATGAGTGTGTGTGTGTGTGAAGAAGGAATAAACCAACGTATATTGTAATATTAAAATGTTCATAAGGGGTTGAAAAATATTGGACTTTATTTTTCCTGTCCTTAATTTGGTGAAATATGGAAGACATGAATAA